ACATTACATTTGTCAACGAGAATTTTCCGCAAGGTCATCGACTCCGTTAACCAATTTATTTGAAAACATCTTGAGTTCATATATGGCGTACTAGATGGCCTCCCACATGCTGCACTGGCTATAATCTTCTTCACCCCTGCATTCTATACAACCGTTTTCCATCAAGTCCTAACCCACCTTTCAAAAAACGGCGTGAGAGACGGGGAAACGCTGCCTTCAGGAAGTTGATGAAGTAGAGATCACTGGCTTGCACTTTGATGACGTCGTTTAAGAAGCGTGCGAAGGCTTCAGCGGTCATATGTCCAGTAACCGTTTGCTGGAACTTGTCCATGAAGGCATGAGATTGCCGGTGAATACCGTGACCAAACATTAGCTACAGTGATAGCAAAGCAAGGAGCAGGAGTCACTTTCTCATCACTGAGGGGAACTGATTTTTTGCTAGAGATAGAAAGGGAGTACTTTTGAGAAGGAAGAGATCCAACATTGTAACCTAATTTGAGCTTCACGTTATCTCTTTGTATGGTGTGTATGTGTTGTTTTTCTCGAATTTTTTAGATACTGGCTTAAATTTAGTATTAGATTTCTCATTTTCTTGCCCTTCTTTCTTCCATTTTTCAAGAAGAAACACTCACCACTACCATTTTCTTCACATGCTCGCTAATGCTTGTCTTTGAGCTGCGCTGCTGCTGAGTGTCCGAAGTTTCCATCCTTTTTAGTAACGTCAGGAGATAGTTAACCAAAGTTTGAACTTTCCTGCCGCAGTCAACTCGAAGGACCTCTCCGTTTTCGGGCATTTTTGGGAATCTAACAGTGATGTCATAATGGTCCTGACTTGTTGCTGATCCGCTAGACTTTGCCGAAGCGAGCGAAACTGCAGAAGGTTTACGAGATGGAGCGAGACTAGCGGTGGAACGTGAGCGCGAAGTATGCGATGAGAAAGAGTGAGTATCCGAAGAAGACACTTCACCAATGGGATCGCTCAGTTCCAGTACTGTCTCTTCAATACTTTTCGAAGTGTCTGAAACCGTTTCTAAACAAAAAGTTACCTGAAAGATGGGAGATGCGAGGAAGTTTCACCTCCATCCTCAGGGGAAGGTGCCAGCAAGGTATCATAAACTGGCACGTAGTCGCTGTCAAAGTAGTCGTAAGGGATGTCGTACTCAGCCATTAGCACATTTGCTTTATTTGGAAAGCTGAAATGAACTCAAAAGAGGGCCGATATAAGAGCAAAGCAACTCGAAAACTTACGAAATTCGAGTAAAAATAGTTGTCGGAAGCAAAATTAAGTGGGAAAGGTAGGTGTTGACACAGTAGATAAGGAATCCTATTTTCAAAATAGAAAAAATTGAAAGAAAATAAAAGGCCAAAAGCGAGCACAGCAAATGGCCCTTCACCTTCTTTTAGTTCTCAAATTCGTGCAGTTTCGACTTTGTAGTTTTTACAATGAAGTAAGACGTGAAGAACGGCAAGAAAGGAAAGAAAAGGGGAAAGAAAGAAGGAAGAAACAAATGAGGAATGCCATGGAAGTATACTTGACGAATCACATCAAGCGCCACTCACTGCGACGGCAGAAGCTGAAATGACTGATCTACCAAGATACTTTGCTGACGTGGATCAGTAGAAAACGCAGATCATTGGTTTTGGCGCCAAATTCAAAGGTGATTTTTGACAAACATAGGTTGACCAGCTTATTTTTGGTATAATTGCGTGTTTGTCTTAGTTATATTCGTACGGGAAGGTCAAATAAGAGGGTGTCCTTGAATAGAACGACAGTGACTATTACTCGGTAGAAGAGATATCGTTGGTAATGACGATTCGAGACACGCTTCTGGTGGAAGAAGCGGCTTTGCTTGGCGAGTATAAAGAAGAAGTCTTGTTTATGACGAGGTTAAAGGATCATGAGACGTGGAAGAAGTTCTCTTTAGTGTATAAAATTGAGTCTTAGCAAGCTGTCTTAGCGTTAAAGAGATCCAAGAGGTAAACAGTGTTTGTGGAAGATCCATCCCAAGCAACAAGAACGAAAGAAGTGTGGATGAGGATAGAATTTGCTATAATGGCCGTACATGAGCAAAGTTTTGGAAGAATGGGGAATATATAAGCTTCAGTGAAGATACTTCCACAAACACTGTTTACCTCTTTAAGAGCTGCGCGGAAAAGCTTCTGACTTCTAACTTTGAGAATGTGGCAGGATTAGTAGATAACCCTATGCGTTAGTAGAATGTGAGTAGATCGTACTGTGGCTGCCACCCAGTTAAGATGGGAAATTATTAAAGAACGACCAATGAAAACCGCGGATACAAAGCATCTTTAAACTAACAATCAGCTTTTGAAACTCGTCTTAAGCAACCATTTCCGTTTCTTGACAAGTAGAAGTAGGTGAAAAGAATTAATCTATCCGAATTGATATGCTTGCGTATTTGTTTCAATGCACACATGTTTTGGTAACCATCTACAAATAATGGTGCTGTCACAGAGTTGAAGTCATTGCCTTACCTTAAAGATTTCCCTTGCGTATTATGATTTCCTTTGACAGATATGACATGAATCAAAGTCATTGGCAGACCCAGCTTGTCCCAAATTTCTTCTTCGGGTTTTCTTAAAAAGAAAGCTTAGAATGCGCTCACAGGTAAGGCAAGACTACATGCTTTTGAACCTGAAGATCCGAGATTTCTTATAGTAGTTCTGCACATGTTCTTTTCTGTTGATGCTGTTGACCGATTTCCCCACTTAAAGAAGTAGTGCAGCTACCCTTACCCGCTAAAGAGGGTGAGTCCCAATTGGCAGTCTTTAAATAATTCAGATACAAACTTCAAACAAATTAATTTATAATGTTTGCTTGCTTTGCTGCATTGTTAAGAAGAAACACATATATTTATTCGGTAAACAATGGAAAGATTCAACTCCAAAAATCAAACCAGAATTAACTGGCGGTAGGAAAAAAGAAATCAAACAGAATAAACATGCACAGTCACGATATAAGCAAATAACAGATCTAAAAAGCGAAAAAAACGCGTAAACGCATCAAATGAAACATCCTTTGGAGGCGTGGAATAGAAAACAACAACAGTGATATAAGTGAATAAGGGCGGATTCGAATATGATATGATATGATTTGATATATGTGAAGTAATCAGGCAAATCCTTACATATACTGCTTCTCCGCCGCCACCTTATCTGATCATAACAGCCCCTTTAACTGAATTCGATCAGCAAACGCACAGCGCACCTGCGCAAGTAAATGACCGAGTCTAGAAGACTTCTCATGGACTGCTGAATGGTAGGTTTCTATAAAATCCAAGACTGCAAAAAACAACTTTATTGAAAATAGTCTCATAAGTTGAGTTTACTGCTATTTGCTCCAACATTTTATTTTCGCAAGATTTCCAATAGAAAAGAGCAAGACGATTTTAGTACCGCAAATGAAATTGTCATCGACAATTTTTACTTACATAAGTATCGATGCGATTGTGTAGATCCACCGTAATCTCAAAAGGAACATACTCCATAGCTTGTACAGTAGCGATATAGTGTGTCAGAAGGTCGTAATCACGCTCAAGTTCAACAGTGTACCTGCTTTCTAAACACATTGCCCAGTTAAGGATTTAAGAAAGTTTCTGCAATTCAAAACTCTCTACGCACCCATATCGATGAAAATTCGAATTTGGTTTATAAGACGGTGCTGGCGTATAGTGACTCGATTGTCGGTCATCTCTCAAAGGGATCGTTGAACAATCATACGTTATTCGCAAAAAATGACACAAGATGTAGCATTATAACGAAGGCTACAGATGCAAATAGTGACTATGAAGCAAGATTGATTAGTTGAGTGGACTTTCAGAAAGCTTACGGACCAGCAGAGTTAAACTGTCTTTATTGTTACTCTTCCAACTACTTTGGCAGAATTAAG